TAAGAGAGAAAACCTCCTTTACATGCCCACCCCGCACTATGCAGCGGACACCATCAAAGAGCAAACATCATCAAACTTGAACCAGGATTCAAATGAGACTGAAACAGAACTGGGGAACCAGTTTTAATTTCAGAACTTTGAATTTAATCTAAACAGACTCTCTATAGTTCCCTTTCCAATGATTCTTTCCCTGAGGCTTCCCTGTGGGTTTTTTTTTCCTCATAGTTTAATGAATTTTAGACTGCTTGAAAGAAAACCCTTTAGATCTCTCTTGCACCGAATTTGCAAAAATCATTAAAGCTGCAAGAAGTCTCTCATTTTCAAGGTCTGCAAAACTGCACGTACATTCTCCAGTGTTTTTGCTACATCATTGAAAGTCAAGGTCACTGTCTGCTACTACAAGGTCAAGGAGATTTTTAGCCTCTATACAAACTGATGTGATTTCTCAGTAGCCAAATTACACATTCACAATCCCATTTCTAGTCAATTTTTTAATTTCTGTAGAAAACCACTAAATATCTATACCTATACCTATATATCTATGTCTGCATCTATTATCCATCTACATGCCCTGCATCAGGTTTTGGGGGCACAGAAAAGAGAAGCACAGTCTCTGTGTAAATCAGACTTGGGGCTCACATAAATTACAGCAGCTATGAAGTGATGGCTACTGTTGTATTGCTGCTAGGAATCGATTGCATCTTATATGCAACGCACAGGGAAAGCAATAGATGGACTTTACATGGATGCATAATTGGTGTGATGTTTTACAACAGCGTTTATTTTGAAGTGACAGAGGAACAGTGATTTAGTGGCTATCAAGGCACAGCACCTGTGACCTCAGCAGAGGGGTGTGGTGGGAAGAGGCCTCTACTTCAGAATCTCCAAAGTTTGTCCCCGAGGAACCCTCTTCTTCCCCTCTGGCTCCAATCTTTTAAAAGACCTCCTATTGCTATCAAAATGCCTTTTTGAAGCAGTGAATAACTCGCTGTTGCTTCTTTGTCCTTAAAGGAAGGCTATATGAAGAGACCTCAGAACTTCTACGTCAGGAAGCAGTGCTGCCACCAAGAACTGGCCGCTGCATCTGAGCTGCTCAGCTGGTCCGACACTGCATCGGTGCACAGCTCCTGTAGGCTTCCTGAAGTGCTCAAAAAGGCTGCTGCTCCCTCGTTTCTCCTGCGGAGGCCTACAGGTCTGCAGTCCCTGGTTGGAAACCACTGCGGTGAAGGGCATGGACTTCAGAAAACAACAGAAAAAGGCCATGTAGCATGTCTGTACTTAGTAAGAATATGATTTCATGATTCCACCACCAATTGATCACGTAGACTGCACCTGCCACAGGGAACTTCTGGAAGGCTAGGGGGTCCTTTGCTATCTGGCAGTCTGACTACATCACCTTCCAAAGTCTGGGTTTAGTCACTCCCCCTCTACCCCCATCACTGGGTTATATTCATAGTCTGTGCTCTTTCCTTTAATTTCACATATTGAGTATTTTCCTAGTTCATGTCTTCACTTCTTTTTTCCTCTCTTCCCTTTGAATTTCTTCACTGTGCCTTTTTGCTTTCTACCCGTATGTGCTCTCTGGCCCATCTTCAGGATACCATTTCCTCTCCTGAGCCTGAGAACTGACATTCTCTTTCTAATAACTCTGTATAGTGTTCTGCATGTAACATCTCCATTTTAGAGGCAACTCATGCAGGTTTCTAATTACTCTTGAAAAATGTCTATGAACCAAGATTTACATTTCAGCATAATTGTTTTTACAACAATCATGTAAGATACACAAAAGTCTGTAGAGGCCTCAGTGAAATGTGAATCTGCCGCAGGCACATTATGTCCGTGTCTAATGAGGATCATGGCTCCAGAAGGTCACGGGGAAGAGGGGCCTCAGGCAGCATCTGCCGCATGTGGAGTGGGTAGTGAGCATCTTAGCTTGTACCTTCTGCAAAGTCCTAATACCAAAGGCTCTGATTTGATCATCTGCTTTTTGAGGGTAAACAAAGAAGTATCTTGGATTGGTTTAAAGGCCAGTTGCTTAACTCACTTCCATTCCCCAGAAAACTGCCCCTCACATCAACCACTAATTTGTGACTAAAACAATGTCTCTGTCATCTAAAACATCATTATTTATAAACTAGTAATTAACAGTCTTATGAGTGGGCCTCCACAAGCCTGACTCATGTTTGGCACTTACGCAGCTTTGGCATGACTCAGTATAGCGCAGAGGTTAAGAGTCTGTGGTTTGGGCCCAAATTGTCTGGGTTCAAATCCTAACTCTTTCGCTGATTTGGGTGTATGACTTTAGGTAACTTATTTAACTTTTCTGTGCCTTAGTTTCCTCACTTGTAAGATACATATGTAATACCTGCTTCCTGTGGCTGCTGTGAAATTTAAGTGAAAATACAAAGGACTGGGCAAGTGATCCAGAAATGTTATTGTAGCTATAAAAACCCACAGACTAGTTGGTGGAAAGGGTAAAATATAAAAAAAAGTTTGTACTGAACAAAGACAGACTTGGGAATACATGGTGTTTCCTGGAACTTGAAACATGAAGAAAATCAAATACTTTTTCACATCTTCAGCCCTTAAGGACTGGGTCTACTACACATGGAACACTGAATAAAAGATAATTCAGGGAGCATTTTTATTGGAAGTCTAAAAGATGGTATAAAAGACAGTGTGAATTTTCAAGTATTCACATTATTATGAGCATGTGTGTATGAAAGTGCATGCATGTGTATGCATATGTGGGTGTGGGTGTAGGTGTATGTGAGCATGCTCTTGAAACTATGAAACAGTTTGAGATAAGCCCTACCTCATATGCCAAGATCATTGGAAATAAGGAACACTAGGGATGTAAAAAATGATGCAATTGTTAAAAAACTAATGAAAATACAAAATGATTTAATCCAAAGATGGAATAAAGTGAGCCAGGAACAATTTTAGCTCATTACAATAATATCTGGTCCACAGCAATTTGATGACTTTAAAATACGAAATTAATAGATGGCTTTAGTAGGTATGCGGTATCGGTCCAGTCATGACTAAGGAACAATGTGAAAAGTACTAATGGAAATGAGTTTGCTGTTGTATCTATGAATGGGATTTTCAATGTTCGAATATCTCTAAATATTCCAGGACCACAGTCCAGACTGTCGGCTAACACAATTGCATAATCAGCTCTGATGTACAGAACTTTCAGAAACATAAAACCATTTCAATATTTAGCAAGTGATTAAATAAAAGCCATTTTATAACCAATAATATATACTCAAAGCAAAGCACCATATAGTTTGTTAAAACCTTATAGTCCAGGAAGAGAGTCAGATGCCAATAGAAGCCCTGATATGGTTTTTCACTTAAGAGTCAGATAAAAGGTCAGACGTAGAATACATATATACATATAACATCAACACCACAAAAATAGTAGTAGGTTTAAATCCATAAATCTGAAAAAAAATGCCACATAAGAGATTTATTTTACTGCTTTCCAGCAGAAAATTATTTTACAAAAGTGGGCTGGAATTATATAGCATGTTAATTGACCAATGATTATTTAAAACCATAATGAACCTGGTTGCAGCACCAGTTAAAAAAACAGAATATTTTTTGTTTTCTCTATAGAATTCACATTTCAATGTACTCTATCAGGGGACCTTAAAAATGTATGCACAGTAAACATGGAATGTAGGAAAATCCACATCTAGAAACCAGATATGTAAAGCAAGGACTGAGGTGGTCATACAGGTTCTGTCTGCTTATATGGTTGGCCAGTTACAATTTTGAAGTCACTAATTACATATCTCTTCTAAAACTAGAAGCCATGTGAAGCATTTACAACAATGGTACAAAAGAAGTTCCTTTCGTTCATTTCAAGAACTTGTCACTGTAGGTGCAAATAGAGATGGTCCAGAAGAAATAATCTCCACCATACCCAGGTAGCCATTTGCCTGTGTAGCTTTAGGAAAGAAAAGAACTTTAATCTTTTCTTGATATGCCCCCAGAGGGCATCTTTGTATCCAATATGTATTTTTTCTTTACTGATTATCCATGGTTAAAAGCATACGCTTTGGAGATAAGCAAAAGTTACAGGGTGAGGTGCCTAAAGTGACTTTTAGGTATGTAAATGACAACAAAACCATTAAAATAGGTTATACCCATGCTATGTTAAAAATAGAAAACTCAGATGCAATCGGAAAATTCTGAATGTGTAGGGCCTTTTTAGAATTCCACAGAGGATTGGTTGTAGAGCTCTGGTCCTTGTTAACATCCCGGTTTCTCTCGAAGTGTTGGGGAGGGTGATCCAAGCATATCTTATCCAGGGCTCTCTGTCACCAACTCTACTTCTCAAAGGTCTCTAGCCAAATATTTAAGCCAAGTATCCTCCACGTAACAGAAACTATAAGAATGACTGGTCATACCTGTAATCTTTCTGCCATCAACAGTATAACATTCACACATTTTCATTTCCATTTTTTGGGCTAGGATTATCAAGGCCATAATACCCAATCTGTTTTCACACATAGTTGATCATTTATCTTACTCCATTTCTATAATCACAATGGGCACCCAAACTAAATTCTCCTTCAGTGTCTAGAGGTCAGGCAAGTTGATGCTTAATATTTTGTGGTGATGATCAAGAGCATTACATATAATTATGCAAAATAACAATCTGGCCCTGAGGCATTTCATTTCCAAACAATGTTTGTATAATAGCAGAAGGAGAATAGTCTCCAAATCCAATTTACTTTAGTATGTTCATCTTACTTTTATTGAAATAATAATGTGAAAACGTTCCTAGGATAATTATAGAGCAATAGAAAATTTCCTTTGTTGATAGTAGATGAAAGTTAAAGAGAATTATTTTGCCAACTCAGACTGCATTAATTTATTAAAATCTATTGTTTTTACTCAGACTGCCTTAGTATTACCTATAAGCAGACATTTTACCATAATTTTTTAAAATGCAGATTTAAAGAATTCTCCCATACATTACTTACTTGTTTAAGCTTCTTTAGATCTTCATCAAGTTCTAAGTTGTCCAAAATAACAGCAACAAACAAACTCAGGAGGATCTATTAAATGGTTAAATAACAAAGAAAAAACCCACATGCTGTGAATATCAAAATATTACATATATAATATGTACCTAAAATACACACAATATGGAATTAGGTGAAAAATAAACATATAGTTCTGAGTCATGGTATAGATATTTTAAGGTATTTACCACAAATACATGAAAGGAAATGAATATGCTGACTGAAATAACTAATATAAAATATTCATTTGCTTTTTGAAGCCTATAAAAAGGAAAAAAACATATAACTCAACAATCCTACTTCTAAGACTATATCAAAAGAAAATAATCTGAAGTATTGATGAAAAGCTTTATATACAAATCGGGAGTTATTTGTAATAATGAAATACTAGAAATAGTACCTACCTGCATGTAAGTAGTTGATATAGCTATAGAGATAGCTATTATAAAATTATCTATTATAATAAATTATCTCCATTATAAAATTAAAAAAATCTCCAAGGTGGCCCAGTGGTGTTCCCACCCAAATGAGTCACCTCCCATTGTGACTATGGCAGTCTGTATAACCAGTAAGTCATGGAAATGATCATGTGTGACTTGTGGGCCTACATGATAAAAGCATTGGGGCCCTCATGTTGCTTTCCCTTCGATCACCCACTCTGGCGGAAGCCAGGTGCCATGTCATGAGAACATTCAAGAGACCCTACGGAGGTCCATGTGGTGGTGAACTGAGGCCTCCCGCCAGCAGCCAGGTGAGTGACCCATCTTGGAAGTGGATCCCCTGGCCCTTGTCAAGCCCTCAGGTGACTGCAGCCCTAACCAACACCTTGACTACAAATTCATGAGACACTCTGAACTAGAAACACCCACTGAGCCTGTCCCAGATTCCTGGCCTGTAGAAACAGTGTGAGACAATAAGTGTGTATTCTTGTAGGCCCTTAAATTGTTCATAATTTGTTATACAGTAATAGCTAACTAATATACTCATGAATTTTAATAGTATTGAAAAGTGCTTATATTACACTATTAAATAGGAGTATAAGAGGTAGAAGGGCACCTATGTACAAAAAGGAATAGTAAAATGCTAGATGGAGGTACCTTAGAAAGGTTAATGGTGCCTGCCTTTGTGGAAAATGAATTTTTCACCTTTTCTTTGTATTTCACCGTATTTCCCAAAACAAAAAGCAAAAAAACAAAAGCTTCTTTTGGAGTGAGTAAATAAGGTAAAAGAAAAACTACAAACAAAAGTAGAATTTTAAAAAAGTAGAATTAAACAAGTAGAATTTAAATAAAGTAAAATTATTTTACTTTACTTTCTAGTCCCTTTACAACTTTGAATTCTTTAAAGTTCCACATTCATCTGATAATCTTTTTCACTCCTAATTTACATCCTTCCTTTTATTTTTCCTCTTAACAGATTATTCTCATTTGTTAATATTAGATGGTTAAACATGAAGGTAAGAAAGTCAAGGCAATTTAGTCATGGCTTCTAAGTACCAGAGAGATCATTATGCAGAAGTTAATGGCCAGCTCTTTTTCAAGTTTAATGACTATATAATAAGGGGCAAAATGCTTCCAAATATTATTTAATTTTGACAGGATATGCCTGGCTTGGGACAAATGCCAGTGCCCTTCCTTTAATAGCCATGTCCTTTAAGAGCACTCGAAGAAGATACAGAATGGTCTAGACTGTAGATTTTTACTGATGTCACCACGTCTGCAACACCATGGGCTTCTGGCGGTAGGCATATTATTGAGGCTTCCTCTAAACCAGACATTATTCCAAAGAGAGCAGTTCATATCCGCCCCAAGTGTGGCTCCCCTCCTGTGAACTACATGTTGACCTTGATGTTATTATCAAAGGTGGAATCAGAGGCACCTACCCTGTCCCTGCAACCTCAGCCGTAACTCAGAGATGTCCACCTGCAGGTCCTCTGCTGGAGTCCGAGCTGTCCCGCACTCCCTCACACCCTGGGCACTGGGGCAGACATTGCTTCTTGTCCTAATTTAACTAGATTTCCTATCTTCCCAGGGAACAGGGAAACATAAATGTGAAAGAAAAAAAATTTTTACCTGTTGAAAAAAAGGGAAAGTGACTATTTCTCTTCCTCTTCTCAGAGCATTTCCTTTAGGAACCTTGTCTCTGTAAATTCTTTCTTTGTCCCTTTGAGATGTTTATACATCTTTTTAAAACAAAATAAGCTTCACCTATTTTACTACCCAGGAATGTTTTGTTTTTTAAAGTGGAGTGGCAATCTCTTTGACATGTAAACAGGGAGGGTGTTGGGAGGGTGGGAATGAATTTAGACATGTGGCTCCAGGTTGCAAAACTGTCTACTTGTCTGGAGCTATGAGAAGTTTTATTTTTCCTTTGGATTAAGGCAATTAACGACCACAGATGGCCACCTCCATTACCAGGTGAACTTAGGGGGAACTGCATTTAACAAATGGTGCTGTCTGATCTTACTTGAGAACTAATTATTTGCATCTTGAGAACATGAATGTAACGTGGTGATGTGTACACAGCTTGCCTTCTGCCTTCAAGATCTCTTTAGTGGTCGTCTGTGAGGACATTGAAGTCTGGGTCAGTGTCTATTCAGCAATAAAACTGTTTTCTTTCTCATCTACCTTGGTGGAGAGGTTTTCTGGGTTGGCAGGAGGTTTTATTTTTAATTATTTTTCCCTACACTGGACAGATGGCAGGCTACTTAAGGACAGGGAGGTTATGCAGTTCGACAAGCAGTTGATTGGACTCCATCGATGTGTCAGACGCTGCCTGGTCAGGAACGTAAATACAACATTGTGCTCACTGCTAGGAAGTTCACAGTCAAATGAAGCAGACGTAGGCTGGCAGCCTGATAGAAGGAGAGCTGAGGCTGGAGACCTCGGTTAGAAAACTGGCCCTGCCAGGTACTGTGAGTTTCAGGGTCCTTACTTGTAAAATATTACAGATAATAATAATGATAACAGCTCAATAGATTGCAACTATCATTTTTCATTGAGTCTTCTCCTGACAACCCTGATGTGTGGTACAGCCTATATGAAAATATACAGCCATAAACTTAGATATACAAAACAAATAATTTTCTTGACATTAGCTACAAATGCATTTAATTTACTCCATAAGCCCTCCATCTGTGTTGATGGCTGAAAACTGAGTTTTGGTGCAATTCAGTTTAGTCCTTTAAAAGTCACTCACATTTGAATAAATGCTCTTTTTGCTGGTCTAAGGTCAAGGAATGTGCTTGTCATTGGCATCGGGTCCACTGCGGCCATGTGGCCTGTCCTCCGTCCCCCATCAGGGCAGTGGCGGTGCTGTTTGGGGGCTCTGGGCTTTCTCTCTGCTGAACTGGCCACTAGCTCCGCCGCTGCCGCCCCTGCTAAGTCCTCTGGCGCTGAGGGCACCCTCTGGGTTTAGCGCCTTAGGGCTGCTGGAGCAAATCGCAGCCTTGGTGGCCTCAAGTGACAGAACTGTATCTGTGACAGTTATCCTGGGGGCCAGTTGTCCAGAAGCGCATTTTCAGCAGCACCACGCCCCGAAGACTCTCGAAGAGGCTTCTCCCCTGTCCCTTCTAGCCTCGGGCGGCCCCTGGCGACCTCCGGCTTGGCACGGCACCCCTCCCGTCTCTGCCTCTGTCTTCACATGGCCTTCCCCTTTCTGCCTGCAGGTCCTGCCCTCCTTCATCCCTTATAAGGACACGTGTTACTGTACTTCGGGCTTAGAGAATCCTGGAAGTCTCATTTCAAAAACCTTAGTTTAACTACATTGGCAAAGACCCCTTTACCCACTGTCGGGCGTCTGCTTGGACCGCGGTCCCTGCAGTGGTGTTGCTCCTGTGCTCTGGCCTTCACCTCTCGGGGAACTCGGGAGGTTCTGGCATCGCAGGGGGGGCCTAAGGGGCCCTGTTTGGGGGATCTTTCGGGCCGTCTCATCACCTAGTCCTCAGGCAGCTCCCCAACTCTGTCCAGGCTGCTCTTTTGTCTGTGTGGGACACCCAGCAAGGCTATCAACCCTCAAGTTCTGACAAGAAGAGGGGCCAAGGCTCAGATGTCCAAACAACCCAGGGTGGCCCTCTGCTGCTGCCCCTGAGGGGGGCAGTCCACCCCTCCACCCAGGCCCGCGCCGCCTCCCTGGCGCGCCTCAGCCTCCTCTGCCTCCCTCATGCTCCGTCCCAAAAAAGATTCTTATTTCCTCTCAGAAAGTGGGAATTGAAGGAAAATGGGGAGGGTGGGGAGGTTGGGAGGGGGACTCACACAAGTGTGAAAAGCAGCGATGGGAAACTAAGCCCGATCAGAGGATCGCACGCTTAGTTCTGTGCCGTCTGAGCGTTTGGATTTCTGAACTTGGACGTGGGCACGTGGGTCTGGGAGCATCTTCTGAACCCTTATGAAGCTTGTGAGTCACCGATAAAGAGTCCAACCAAGTGCTACGAAGATACCAAGGAGAAGGATGACTCTGGCAGTAAGAGAACTGAGAAAGGCTCTCCAGGTGGCACCAGCAAATCCAGGGCCTTGGGGGCCTGTGCCTGCTGGGGCCTGGTGAGCCGTTAGGACCAAGGAGAGCCCGGCTGCCGGGGTGGAGGCTGGGGGAGGCTGCAGAGGTTGGGCAGGGGGTTGGCAGTTTCCCCAAATGCCACCCAGGAAGGTTGGGAGGTGTGAGAGGGAAGTTGTCATAAACACGAAGTGATGACATCAGTGTCTTCTCTGCTACATTTTTCCTTTCAAATGTCCTATTTTTTTTAAGTGTGTAATGTAGTTATTTTAAAACTAGCTCGCTGAAAGAGTAATGAGAGCAAAGTACAGTTTGACATGAAGTTATTAAACATGTAATGTTTTGTTAAGTTTTAAAAAACAGTACATTTATATGTTCTTCTTGGAGGGAAGAGAGAAAAAGCTGCCCTGAACTCGGAGGAATGGAGAGGAGGCGGGGTGCTGCCCCCCTCTGTCTTGCTGGCCAGATGAGGGCTGGATTTCCACGACAGGGGGAGGCCAGGCTCAAGGAGGACAAGGCTTGGCTCTGCGAGGAGACGTGCT